CGCCCCCCTTTTCTACAACCCTGTGCACACCTATGGCACCAGCTAGTTAAGTGCTATATGGTATTATCACAAAAATATTTATACACCACCGGGATAAAGCACTTTAAATGTAGTATATTGATTTATGCATGTATGGTGATGTATAAGCTACTCATAGGTGTAGGAGTATGGGGAGGCCGGGTAGCCTAGCCCCCCCAATAAAATCCTTAACAGCTAGACTTTGCCATTTCGCTTCATTGTAATGTATGCTCACGTCTTTAAAGCCATATTCTGTCGAGTTAGTCAAGATAATTAATGAGTTATGCGTTTCCTTTTTTTGCAAACAATTTTTAGCTTTTGATTTTTTTTGGCTCCCAAATAGATTTTGACCTTTGTCTTTGGTGCTTTTTCGATCTCTTTTTGTGGCACGTTCAAATTCCTGTTGGTTATTGATGTTTGTCACAGTCTGAGCGGGTGGGCTCCATCATTTTACAAGTTCTGTTTGTAGTTTTCAGCCTAATATCTAAGCCAACTAGTCAGAATGAGTGTGATGCATATAAAGATGACTCAGTTCTCACATGAGACTGTTTTATCACGTTTTTTCACACTTCTAGACTGTGCCGCAAGGGCCACCATCCTATTCTCTTTTTTTAGGCTCTTTGTTGTAATCATTGAATAATCTCAAGTAAGTGTTATCATAATGAGTATAATAGCAGCCTGTCTAATCCTCATCTACAAGTGGGCTCAAAGTGGGCTGAAAATGATATATATTACCTATAATGTGCCTACTCCGGCTGTATCAGATGTACAGGCAAGTCCCACTTGGGCACTACTCGCCCTCATGGTCGGCGTCTGTAAATCATATACAGTTCTACTAGGAGTGTTATACCTAGTATATATCATTTTTAGTGGGCGGATCACATTGTACGCATTCGCAGTAGCTAGCAGCCTAGCACATGGAAAGAAGAAAAGATGGCTACCTCAACAAGCAGCAGTCCTCCTTCAAAAAACTTGAAAAAAACATCACTTAAGCTTATAAATGAAGAACCATGTAGTTGTCAAGGTATAAAATGATCCAAACCTGCCTAATTCTGATAGATAAGGATGTATATACTCAACACTCAACGGGCTTGTGGGAAATGTTATACATGCATTGATATGTGATTATTATAATTGATTATTCATTGACCACATGACAGTTTTTTTTTATTGATGATAATGTGATGATTGATTGTACTAACAAACAAAGAGAAGAACAAACAAGAGCCAGAAATACAGTCCACAGAAAGAGAAATATAGTACATGGTCCTTCCCGAGTCGGATCCCTGGCAAGAAGACCTCAATCAAGACGGACGAAAGGATAGAAGACTGTAAGTCGACCGACGTAGATCTAGCATTCATTCTTCCTTTGAAAATAAATTCGAGAGTTTGAGAGTATTATTATTGTTGTTGTGTGATGGCGCTAGTCCGAAAGAAGAAGTCTAGAAGTGGTCATAGGTCGTCTGCTACCAGGACTATGAACGCCGCTTTTGATATAATAAGGGCAGGCAAATTCGAGGCAGCTGACATGGCCAAGCTAGCTTACTACGAAACTACGATAAGGGCTAAGGTCGACACGCTACTCAAGCTGGACGAGGAGATTAGAGATGCAACCCCAGAAGACGAGCTAGAGGCTGAAATAGAGCAAGCGGACCTCTTTATAGAGGAGATCAAATTAAATTTAATAGAATTAGAAGGCGCCATTAATAATGCTAAAACCACACCTTCCGCGGGTGGTGCGGCCGGAGGCGCGCCCACGACGCCCCCACGATTGACGCCTCCTACGAGATCTCCACCGCCATCTAGTACTAGTAGCGTTGCAGCCGAACCTCCTCCCCCTGATTCATGGATTCCAGCTACTGGAGTGAAGCTACCAAAGCTGACATTGAAGCACTTTCGTGGAGATCCAACGACTTGGTCTACCTTTTGGGACTCATTCGAAGTTGCAGTGCATGAGAACTCTGGGTTATCTAATGTTGACAAGTTCAACTATCTAGTCTCATTGTTAGATCCTCCAGCTTCAAGTGCAATAGCAGGCCTCAAGATTACTGCTGCTAATTATCCCGAAGCAGTAGCACTATTAAAGAAGAGGTTTGGCAACAAACAACACATTATTTCAAAACATATGGATACTCTGCTAGCCATTGAAGCAGTTCATTCCACT